TTTTTTTTTTATATTCTTTGGTATTCTAAGCAGTACAGTACTTTTAATTTAACAGGATTGACTTCAAGGAAAGTGATATTAAATACAAGCGGCCTATTCTATAATATAGAGCTTCTGAACTTTGGACAGGTAATTATTCTGACTATACCAAGGATTTGATTTTACTTTACTGTTTAGTTAAGCAAACAAGTAAACTTTTGTTTTTTGTTTTTGTGGTCAAACTCTGTTAGATATACCAAGCTTTTAAAATCAACGTAGTAAGCAAGTGCTCAGGAGTCAAAGGTAAGTGTATTTCCTAAAAAAATATAATGGTATTGTCATTTGGAGAATCTACTGATTTACTTGATCAATCTTTACTTGAATTTTCTATATTTATGTTTCTGTATATTTTATGTGAAGTAAAATTAAATACATCATTATAGAAAAGCTGTTTATATTTCCTACATATTTAACATAGATCCTTTCTTAATAGTAAGCATCTTCATCTGTTTCAGTTTCAATATCTACATTTTAAAAATGCTGAATACCTTGCTGTCTTATAATAGTAATTCAGATTTAGCTGTTAAATATTTTTCCAGTTTCTTAGTACTTCCCATATGCTCCAATATCTTTTGTAAATCTTATTAAACATTATTACTTAATAATTCTCCATAATTTCTTTTTTGTGACATAATTCTTACTGATTTTTTTATGAAACGGGTAATTGTATAAGTAGTTAGATATTATAGCAGCTTATATAACATTTAGTGTGATATAAGATTAGTAATAACATATTTCCTTTACATTTTCACAGAAGAAATAACTAGTATCTATAAGCTTCATATTCCCTGGTCTTATGAAGATTCACTAACCATTGCACAGTAAGTATATGAAAGAATTTACCTTAAACTTTTGTGTTTTTGAATAATACATATTCTACTTGGTTTATTTCAGTTATAGTGAAATTATTACAGTGCCTCTTAGTAAATTCTAGGTATCCTTTATGTATATTGTGCCCATAAGATAATCTGTTATAAGATAATATATATTGGGTTGTCAGAAAAGTCATGATGCACCTTTGCAACAGATTACACTAGTTCATTTTTAGAAGTACTAGAGTCATTCGCATCTATGTTATTGCTATGTCATTAGACAGCTTACAGTTCTAGCTTCATTCTAAAAAAAAAATTGAGCGTTTTGATTGAGTTTTAGAGATTTTACAACAAGTTGAAGATGGAAGACCAAACTGTGCATTTTTGCCATATTTTACTGTTTTACTTCCATAAGGGGAAGAACGCACATCAAGCTTGTGAAAAGTTGCATAAAGTTTATGGTGACAATGCTCTACAAGAACGTCAGTGCCAGCGATGGTTCACGAAATTCCATGCTGGTGATTTTGATCTCAACAACGCTCTTTGGTCAGGGAGGCCCCCCGAGGTTGATGACGACCAAATAAAGGCATTGATGGAGTCAAACCCACGTTACATGACACGAGAGATTGAAGGAACATCCATCATTCAAGTGTTCACAACCACCTGAAGAATCTGGGATATGTAAGCAAGCTCAATATTTGGGTTCCGCATGAATTCAAAAAAGTTCATTTGACGGCGTGTATAAACATCTTCAATATGCTCATTAAACGTGAGGAAAACGATCCTTTTTGAAACGACTGATAACTGGTGATGAGAAGTGGATTGTTTACAACAACGTGGTGTTCAAATGGTTTGGTCCCGATGTGATGATTCACTTCAAATGACATCGAAAGCAGACATTCATCAGAGGAAGGTTATGCTCTCAGTGTGGTGAGATTTTAAAGGTGTCATGGTTTTCAAGCTCCTACCAAGGAACCAAACAATCAATTCAAATGTGTACTGTCGGCGATTGGACAATTTGAACGAATCCATCATCCAGAAATGTCCAGAGCTTGTTAATTGTAAAGGCGTTGTGTTCCATCACAACAATGCAAGACCACACACACAAGTTTGATCACCCATCAAAAGTTATTGGAGCTTGGATGGGATATGTTGCCACACCCACCATACTTGCCTGACCTTGCACATTCAGACTTTCACTTGTTTCGCTCTCTTCAAAACTCCTTGCGTGGGCCGGCCGAGTGGCGCGATGGTTAAGAACT